CACCACCACCACCAGGGACCCTGTATGACAGAGAACTGACACTGACAGCCCACGTGTTTTATAACAAAGCCCAGTAAAGGAAAAGATGAGCCCACTACATATATGGGATTTGCCTTATAAAGGAACCACCGTTCTCATTCCAAAAAGCTATCTCCACATTGGTTTAATATACAAAGACGGAAACATGGGAAAGGAGAAACTGGCAATGGGGACTATTAAAAAGCAGAAGCTCAAAGAGATCAGATATTAATCTGGAAAACTCCAGAAAAAATGTATAGTAGATTCTTCTTCAAAAACAGTCAGCCTGTTCCCTCTATTCAATGGGAGCAGTGTATTTCTCTACCCCTTGTCTTTGCACTTGGCCACGTGATATGCCTTGGCTAACTGGATGCTGGCCAACTGGATGCTAGCAGACAAGATGCAAGCAGGGGCTTGTACATGCTGGTACAATTGGGTGCGTCCTCTTACACTTTTCCTGTCACCACAAGAAGAACATGCTGTGGCTGGACCCAGGCAGAAGACAAAGACACACTGAGCTACGATTCCCAGGCCGGGGTCAGCCTAGATCAGTCCAATCCAGGCCACCAATCCACAGGCGCAGGAGCTACATACTGTGTATACATGGAGATGCGTGCTGTGTATACATGGAGATGTGAAGCTGTGATGCAGCACTGTGGTGGCAATAAATTCCAGATACAGAGAGCAAAGGAATCTTTAACTCATCCAAGAGACACTTACCAATAATACCCTTATAGTTGGTTGGCACAATGTCTTCATTCCTGAATTTTGCCCCTTGCAGCTTTAGTCTAGTATTTACTACCCAGAGCGGAGTTGTCAGCAACACATTCACTACTCCTTTAAAAAAGAAAGAGGGAGAGACAAACGGAAAGCAAAATGTCAACTTTTATGTGTCATATGCTAAAGCTGCCACATACCAATGTTCCATTAATACTTCTGACACTGACTGACTGAGAGACATACGGAAGGTGCTTCTTTGTACCAAGGTTCAACACAAGCCACTACTGTCAGAAGCTTTTCTGATAGCAAAGTGACTGACAGCAGCACCTCTGAACGTCAAAAAAGTAGCGAATTTACACATTTGTGTAATAGGAGACATTATACACTTTATATAGCGGTCCAAGGCAGCAATAAAGTTTTGTATGTAATTCTTAAGTACAGGCAGTCCCCAGGTTATGCATGTCCAAATGTCTGACTTACATATAACCATAATAAGAACTGATTTCTGTAAAGCCCAGTATGTTAAGAACTAGAGGTCTATACAATGGCTCACAGTAACAAATGGACACGACTTTGCAACACATCAAAACATTATTACTGTATTATTATGTTAAAGATGTTTTAGTGCATGTGGAAGGGTTTCTTTAATGTTTTTTCATGCATAGGAAGGGACACTATATATTATATCCTAAGACAAACATTTGACTAACTGACATTAAATACAAACCGTACATAACTGTTCTGACTTATGTACAAATTCGACTTAAAGACAGACTAGGAATAGAACTCGTTCGTAATCTAGGGGCTGCCTGTAAAACAGCTTCAGGGAGGGGCTATATTTTATTGATCACATGCTAAGTCCATGGCAACATCAGATAAAACACACAATTTACAACTTCCGCGTGAGTAGCTCATACAGTTTTCAGTGAAGATGGGTCTATGTCTATTACAATGAGCAACACACAAGTGGGAGAAAATGGTGAGATTTCACAAGTGCTTCAGCAGAGCTGAGAAGCCCCTAGGAGAGTCACTCATCACCAAGGGAGTCAGGGTGCAGGGAGTTAGGGAATTAGCAAGCGGTGGTTATGAGCTGCCACAGACACCTGGAAGAGCCTCACAAGCATCACGATCCTTACAAGCTTAAGGATGGGGACTGCGGTCCCCCAAGGTTGCCTCACAGTGGAACAATACACTGAGCCAGGTGCTTCTTTTTGGCAAAGACATGATCCCAATTTAACACCATCTTGAGATATTAAAATACTCCTCAAAAGTCCTGAAATGATTGGGGGGGGGGAGAAAAAAAGCAGATAGTGTTGTAACAAAGTGCCTGACACATCATATACACTTTATAAAGATTTGTTAAACAAGTAATGGAGCAGACTCAGCAAACAAGCATGCATGGCTCTGCCCGCTCCAGTCACGCTCTGAAGAACCAAGAGGCACAATCTAAAGGAAGAGAAATCTTCTACTAAACGCAATTTAAACACAACCAGGAAAGAATGTCTTGATTTAAGGAATCGCAAAACATACTAGATAGAAAATACAGTCTAACCAAGGAGAAACTGGTGGAAGAACCAAGAGATTCAAATTCTACTTTACCATTTGTCGTGCAAATTGCAAAAGTAAGCTATTTTACCACCTACCTATCTCTTAAGAGCAGTAAGAAAACACATTTCTCAAAATAAAAGACATTATCAAGTAATTTTATGAAACGTATTTGTTGTATTTTTAGAGATTCCTATTATCACCGAGGAGTCATCTTGAGGTACTGATCAGCAGCTGAAAATATCCAGACACGCCCATTTGCCGAGACTTTAGAATGTATTCCTGCTCAGTGCGATGCACAGTCACCTAACAGAGAAGCATCAGCAGCCAGAAAAGTCAGACTAGACTAACGCTTTTTTTTTTTTTTTTTGAAATGATGAAAGCAAAGAGGGGAGGAGAGCTCAGAACCAGACAAGCTCTGTGGCTTGCTGAGAAGGGCACAGCACACACACCCATTCAACGATTCCTTACAAACCAACACTTCCTTCCTGTTCTAGCCAAGACAGAGCCAGACACAAAACTCGTAAGAGGCAAAATGGCTAAAATTAAGGTTGAACCATTATTCTGAATTCTGATTCACAGCCCCATCATTAACCCAAGCTGAAAGACCGAGAGGATTCTAAGGACAATTCAGGTACAAAAGTGCACCACATTATTCTAAACAAGAAAGTGTAAAGTCCTTTTTAAAACATCATGTTTTTCAAAGCTATTTATCTGAGAAATTCAAGCACTTTTTTCACCCTTTAGGCCAAAACAGATGGAGAAGTATCTTTTAACCACTCTAGATAAAGAGATACTCAAAATACTTGAGATCCAAACTTTACTCAAACTTGCATCTTATATAACCAAGCAAAACATGACATTCCCCTCAGGAGAAACTTGCCACAACACATCACGATTGCCATTTCCAGATCCTAAGTAACCATGAGAGGCCCAAAGGGCAGACACCTGTCTGCTCCTTTACGACCTATGAGGAAATCTCTGGCAGTTCCACGCTGAGGCTGCTACTTGAGCTGTCGGACGGGATTGGTGTGTCCTCTAATTCTATGGTTCTCTTTTATTTCTTTTCTAGGTAACAAATCATTTACATGAAAACAGAACCAGAATTAAGAGGTGAAGAATAGTTACTGAACACACTCATTAAAATTAGTCCCTGATTCAAGGAATAACTGGAACAGAGTTTCTCACTTCTGAAATCTTGAAAACAAATAGTTTTATGAGCAGTGAGTCTTCTTCCTTACGGAGAGGAAACAAAATTTGCATATGTTAATGGGCTATGTCCTTCTGGGAAGTGTATGCACTGACTACCCAGAAGGAAACCAATCCACACCCACTGCTGTCAAGTCAATTCTGAGAACAGAGATCCTGCAGGACAGAGCAAAACTGCCCCACAGGGTTTCCAAGCCTGTAGATCTTTACAGAAGCAGAGTGCCTCACCTTTCTCCCGCAGGGTGGCTGATAGGTTCGAACAGCCAACCTTTGGATTAGCAGCAGTCAAGTGCTTTAATCTCTGTGCCATCGCTGACTTCAGATATCAAAGCCACAAATCTAACCATCTGACATTCCACAAAGGAATGCATCTTGATCCATACCAGGAATAATCAGTTACCAGATTTAATGCCCAAGAGCTGGAAACACATTTTGAACTATGACAACAATGATAATGCCAGTGGTATTCAAAAAAAGTCATTGGTAAAAATACTAATTTCATAAAAATGACAAGTGTCTAAAGAAGTTGTGTGTAGTTATCTGTAATGTTCTGTCCCCAATTCTTCCCCAGGGTATGATGTTTTATGGACTTTTTTCTGTGGAGATACAATATATAATACATTTCTAAGTTTCAAACAAAATTTGAGTAAGAATGCTGTTCCTAGCTCTCCCTGGAGACAATGAAACTTGTTTCTAACAAACCAGAAACCCCTTAGCCCATTGCCATGGAGTGAATTTCAACTCACAGTGACCCTAGAGGACAGAGGAGAACTGCCCCACAGGGTCTCCAAGGCTGTGAATCCTGGCAGAAGCAGAGTGCCACATCTTACTCTGTGGAACAGTGGTGGGTCTGAACTGCCAACTTCTCAGTTAGCAGCTGAGGGCTTCACTACTGCACCACCAGGGCTTCTTGGAGAAAAAGCTGTTCTAGTTACTGTAAGAATGTGTAAGTAATAAGACATAAAAACACGTTATCAGGAGAAGTTCAAAATTCATGAAAGTAATTTCCAAGGAATTCTCCTTCATCAGAAAAAGACCTGAAACTAGAGAACTGCAGAATTATAAAGGATGGTAGAACTCAATAATCCAGGGCTCTCAACCATGACAAGGAGCTCTGGTGGTGCGGTGCCTAAGCCATCTGACTGCTAACCAGAAGGATGGCGGTTCAAATCCACCAGCCACTCCACGGAAGGAAGGTGGGGCAATGTACTTCTGTAAGGATTAACTGCTGAGGAAACCCAATGGGGGTCACCATGAATTGGAATCAACTCGATGGCAGGGGGTTTGGGTTTTTTTGGTTCTCAACCATGACACAACTGACACTTTGGGCTGACTAATTCTTTGCTTCTTGGGGGGAGGGGTGTTGCTGTATAGGATGTTTAGCAGCACCCCTGGCTGTTAGTGCTGTTGTTAGGTGCCGTCGAGTAGGCTCTGACTCAAAGCGACCCCGTGTCCAACAGAACAAAACACTGCCCAGTCCTGCGCCAGCCTCACAATCCTTGCTACAGGTGAGCCCACTGTTGCTGTCACAATGTCAATCCATCTTGTTGAGGGTCTTCCCCATTTTCTCTGACCCTCCACTTTACCAACCGTGATGTCCTTCTCCAGGGACTGGGCCCGTCTAGATGCTAACAGCACCAGCCAAAATTTATTATACTGTATCATTCTATTATATTGCATGATTTAGTTCATAAAATAATAATCTTATTTTTAAGAGCAGTTTTAAGCTTACAGAAAAATTACACAGGAAGTTCAAAGTTCCCATTGACTCCTTTTCCCCTGTACACTGTTGCTCTTATTGACATCCTGAATTCCTGGGGTGTCCTTATTAACAGAAGTCCACGTTAGTTAGGGCTCACACATTGTGTTGTATAATCCTGTGGGTTTTGGTAAGTGCTTAATGCCCTGGATTCACCATTATAGTATCACACAGATTTGTTCCACTGCCCTAGAAATGCCTTGCTCCAACTAAAGACATTATTATTTTTTTAAATTTTATTTTGATTTGGGTGAAGATTTACAGAGTAAATTCACTTTTCATACAGCAGTTCACATA